TGGATGTGCCAATCTTCTATGACTATATATAACTTTTTAGTGGACATCAGAATTAATCCACGCTTCGGACGTTGGATGTGCCAATCTTCTATGACCATTATATGACTTTCAAGTGGACATCAGAATAAATCCACGCTCAGGACGTTGGGTGTGCCAATCTTCTATCACCATTATATGACTTTTTAGTGGACATCAGAATAAATCCATGCTCAGGACGTTGGATGTGCCAATCTTCTATGACCATAATATGACTTTTCAATGTACATCAGAATAAATCCACGCTCAGGACGTTGGATGTGCTAATCTTCTATGACCATTATATGACTTTTTAGTGGACATCAGAATTTATCCACGCTCAGGACGTTGGATGTGCCAATCTTCTATGACCATTATATGACTTTTCAATGTTCATCAGAATAAATCCAAGCTCAGGACGTTGGATGTGCCAATCTTCTATGACCATTATATGACTTTTCAATGTACATCAGAATAAATCCACACTCAGGACGTTGGATGTGGCAACCTTCTATGACCATTATATGACTTTTTAGTGGAAATCAGAATTAATCCACGCTCAGGACGTTGGATGTGCCAATTTTCTTTAACCAGTATATGACTTTTCAATGTACATCAGAATAAATCCACGCTCAGGACGTTGGTTGTGCCAATCTTCTATGACCATTATATGACTTTTTAGTGGACATCAGAATTAATCCACGCTTAGGACGTTAGATGTGCCAATCTTCTATCACCATTATATGACTTTTTAGTGGACATCAGAATAAATCCACGCTCAGGACGTTGGATGTGTCAATCTTCTATGACCATTATATGACTTTTCAATGTTCATCAGAATAAATCCACGCTCAGGACGTTGGATGTGCCAATCTTCTATGACTATATATAACTTTTTAGTGGACATCAGAATTAATCCACGCTTCGGACGTTGGATGTGCCAATCTTCTATGACCATTATATGACTTTTAAGTGGACATCAGAATAAATCCACGCTCAGGACGTTGGGTGTGCCAATCTTCTATCACCATTATATGACTTTTTAGTGGACATCAGAATAAATCCATGCTCAGGACGTTGGATGTGCCAATCTTCTATGACCATAATATGACTTTTTAATGTACATCAGAATAAATCCACGCTTAGGACGTTGGATGTGCCAATCTTCTATGACCATTATATGACTTTTTAGTGGACATCAGAATTAATCCACGCTCAGGACGTTGGATGTGCCAATCTTCTATGACCATTATATGACTTTTCAATGTTCATCAGAATAAATCCACGCTCAGGACGTTGGATGTGCCAAACTTCTATGACCATTCTATGACTGTTTAGTGGACATCGGAATTAATCCACGCTTAGGACGTTAGATGTGCCAATCTTCTATGACCATTATATGACTTTTAAGTGGACATCAGAATTAATCCACGCTTAGGACGTTGGATGTGCCAATCTTCTATGACCAGGGTATGACTTTTCAATGTATATCAGAATAAATCCACGCTTAAGACGTTGGATGTTGCAATCTTCTATGACCATTATATGACTTTTAAGGCGATATCAGAATTAATCCACGCTCAGGACAATGGATGTGCCAATCTTTTATGACCATTATATGACTTTTTAGTGGACATCAGAATTAATCCACGTTCAGGACGTTGGATGTGCCAATCTTCTATGACCATTATATGACTTTTTAGTGGACATCAGAATTAATCCACGCTTAGGACGTTAGATGTGCCAATCTTCTATGACCATTATATGACTTTTTAGTGGACATCAGAATTAATCCATGCTCAGGACGTTGGATGTGCCAATCTTCTATAACCATTTTATGACTTTTCAATGTACATCACAATAAATCCACGCTCAGGACGTTGGATGTGCCAATCATCTGTGACCATTATATGACTTTTTAGTGGACATCAGAATTAATCCACGCTTAGGACGTCAGATGTGCCAATGTTCTATGACCATTATATGACTTTTTAGTGGACATCAGAATAAATCCACGCTCAGGACGTTGGATGTGTCAATTTTCTATGACCATTATATGACTTTTCAATGTTCATCAGAATAAATCCACGCTCAGGACGTTGGATGTGCCAATCTTCTATGACTATATATGACTTTTTAGTGGACATCAGAATTTATCCACGCTCAGGACGTTGGATGTGCCAATCTTCTATGACCATTATATGACTTTTAAGTGGACATCAGAATAAATCCACGCTCAGGACGTTGGGTGTTCCAATCTTCTATGACCATTATATGACTTTTTAGTGGACAGCAGAATAAAACCACGCTCAGGACATTGGATGTGCCAATCTTCTTTGACCAGGGTATGACTTTTCAATGTTCATCAGAATAAATCCATGCTCAGGACGTTAGATGTGCCAATCTTCTATGACCATTATATGACTTTCAAGGCGACATCAGAATTAATCCACGCTCAGGACGTTGGATGTGCCAATCTTCTATGACCATTATATGACTTAAAAATTATATTGGGAATGATGATTTTTTTAGAAGAAGAAGAAGAAGATTTACAAAAGCTGGCATATTTATGCTGAAGTCGCTGTCAAGTGTAAATACAGTATATATGTGTTTTCTTTCTTTGTAATTTTAAGTATTTCATAACATCTTTTTCTATTACATTTGGTTGCTGTCTCATGGAAACTTTATTTAGAGAGTTATTTAAAAAATGTTATAAAACCTCATGTTACTTCAAACATGTAAAAATCTCTTGTTATAAGCAGTCAACCTAAAACTTACCAAAGCGAGATAACTATGACACTTCTCAAATATATAATACAGACACAGTTATCTCTCCTTAGCGTCCTCTCCGTGGACTAACGTGCTCAGCGATGACGTCCCCAGCGATGATTAGCTGTTGACCCCTTATCTCAGTCAGCGTACTCCAGGGGCGTGTTTATTGCTGAATATCTCCAGAACGTCTTCTGGTGAACAGTCCAAAAAAATGAATCTGGACCTCTTCTGAAGATATTCTGTAGAAGAAGCAATAAAACAAAAAATCAATTTGCCGTTGAATATATCAGATTTTTTTAATGTTGGATGACACAAATGAAGTTTACGATGATTTATTAGAAAATTAAGATACGTGACCAGTTTATTCGGTAGACATGACTGTAATAGTGTGCTATGTTTCAACATTGGTGTAATTATACAATATGTGTATAAAAAAAGAAAATTGGTTGGAAGAAATCGCTGTGTTCGTGACATTAATATATATTTCTTTATACTTTCCGAACTCAATTTTGCTAAACAAATCTGACTTAAGGCCCGGGCACCCCCCTTTTTGGGAAAAATTTGGTTGGTTATATCATAGGGCATCACTGAAACATGACTGGAGCGGGCCCCCTCTTAGGCAGTCAGTGGGTCCCCACTTATGAAAATTTCTAGACCCGCCACTGTTTTAAACTCGTGTTTTTTCTGAAAATGCATGAAATATTTGTCCCTCGACGTTAAAAATAAGCAACAAACAATCAATCAATTTAAACTCGTTTTAAATAAGGAAAAAAAGTGATTTTTTTTTGGTGGGGGTGGGGAACATGAGGATTTTGAATAGGAATAGGGTTGGTCTGGTAAGACCTGAAAATAGGCATTCTTAGGGACCTAGTAAAATGAATAATAAATCCGCAAAAAATCCTCCTGCTTACTCCCCCTCCCCGGGATATCAAATAGTCGTCCCCTTACTGTTATTTTTCCATGTAGTTCTTAAATTTATCCAGCTTATCGTCCCTACATGCAGGGATGTTCTAAGGCTACCATAAGTATAGATTATTACATGGCATTTTTCATATCAGACCCTGTATCGGCCCTAGGTCATGACATCAGCCAAAGAGCCGTAGGCTCGAGGGCTGATATCATGAACGAGGGCCGATAAAGGGTCTGATATGATAAATGACATGTAATTATCTTTTTATCATATACTTCAACAGAAGAAATACAGACAAGAACTATTAATTAAAATTTTGTCTTTCCATGAATTTTTAGATAATAATTTACAGTCAATCAAATACAAATTTCTTAACTTTAATTATTTTTATTGATATTACAAGCATTTTATTTATCTTGTCACAACAGTTATCATGAACTTAGTTTGAAAATATGCTCCTCAACCATTTTGAGAAGTCTTAAATCACTTGCGGTTTTCCGCTCTGTGTTGTCGTTGTCGAACAGATTTCCGGAAATGCATGTGATAAATAGAGAATATCATATGGCTTTTTCAATATCACATCCGTATTGATCAACCCGAGGCACCAATATAATCCCAAGAGCTCTGCTCGAGGGATTATATTGGTTGAGGGTTGATACGGTGTGTGATATTGAAAAGGCCATATCATATACACTTTATTATATACATATATCTCACGTAGATGCTTTTTATGTGACATGACGTCATACAGATAAGGAGGTTTGAAATGACGTCATACAGATAATAGGTTTGACATGACGTCATACAGATTAGAGTTTGCAACAGTGACTGCAATCGATGACGTGACGTCATACAGATTAAAGGTGTGATAAAGCCTTTGTAACCGTGCTGATATCGATATCATCACGGGTGGCTGATACAGCACGCTTGCCAATGATTGTATTACACATACAATTTATCTGTATTTACTACTAAGTATATAATAAACGTCACGGAAATTAACGGAAACTTCCGAAAGGCATGTGATAACATTCCGGAAGCAGTCAATAAAGGTTCCTTTATCAGCCCGCTGAGGAAATTCTTAGGAATCTGATCAATAAACCTAGTAATCCTTTCATAGCCTTTTAATATTTTTAAATGTTATTGAACTGTAAAATTTTAGTAATATTTTATACAAGGATATATGATAAAAACGTTTATCATACAGCTCACATTTTATTAAATCTGCATTCCTAAATTTATTAATGTCATTTAGACTAAACGACGCCATGTTTGTTATGTGCCTCTGCCGTCTATAAACCACCTATTTAAAAAGAAGAGGTAGAAGAGAAACAGAAGATCTTCCCAATGCAAAAACACAGAAATGGACCTCTTCTGGCTCACTACCGAAGAACAAAAAAACGCGCCCCACGTGTCATAACAAACCGCGATATTACGACTTGAAAGAGATGGCATCTGAAGAAATTGAAGCACAAATATCTAACCTAGGCTCCGATCTTGAACAAAATTTAAGGACAAGGGAATCAACACCCCGAGAGAGATCGTCATCTAGAGTACGATCCAGAAGTGAAAGTACACACAAGGGCCGAGGACGAAATAAAAGTAAAATATCGAGTATACACACTGATGAATCGTATACAGGTCTTTCTTTTAATTCACTCCCATCATCAACATCGCACTGGACATTAATTTGTCTTGAGTCGGTTGGAGTATACTACAAGGACAAAGCATTGTCTGTTCCAGGTGTCTTCGATATGGTTTACGAACATACAGGGTTGTTCGAAACTCCAAGTTCTGATCAAATAGAGTTTGTGAAGAAACTTAAGGACGAAATCACGTTCTCTTTCTCCATATCCGATCTGAGTAGATACAATAACAAAGGCTTCTATCGAGAAACTTTCCAGAATTTGAAAAAAGATCTTCCGAGGTTAGTTTTTTTGTTGAGCCTGCGAATTGTGTCGCAGAAAGCTCGACATAGGGATAGTGATCCGGCGGCAGCGGCGTTAGCAAACTTTTTAAAAGCTTTATATTTTTAGAAGGTGGAAAACCTGGATGCTTCATACTTTGTATATAGATGCCTCATGTTACGAAGTTTCCGTCAGTCACATGTCCAATGTCCTTGACCTCGTTTTCATGGTTCAGTGACTACTTGAAAAAAAAGTTAAGATTTTTTGTAACTTTAAATTCTCTCATATTATAAGTAATAGGATAACTATATTTGGTATGTGCGTACCTTACAAGGTCCTCATGCCCATCAGACAGTTTTCACTTGACCTCGACCTCATTTCATGGATCAGTGAACAAGGTTAAGTTTTGGTGGTCAAGTCCATATCTCAAATACTATAAGCAATAGGTCTAGTATATTCTGTGTATGGAAGGACTGTAAGGTGTACATGTCCAACTGGCAGGTGTCATCTGACCTTGACCTCATTTTCATGGTTCAGTGGTTATAGTTAAGTTTTTGTGTTTTGGTCTGTTTTTCTTATATTGTATGCAATAGGTCTACTATATTTGGTGTATGGAATGATTGTAAGGTGTACATGTCTAGCTGGCAGGTTTCATCTGACCTTGACCTCATTTTCATGGTTCAGAGGTCAAAGTTAAGTTTTTGAGTTTTGGTCTTTTTTTTCTAATACTATATGCAATAGTTCAACTATATTTGGTATATGGAAATATTTTATGATCTATATATCGGTTGCACAGGTTTTATTTGACCTTGACCTAATTTTCACGGTTCATTGCTCAGTGTTAAGTTTTTGTGTTATGGTCTGTTTTTCTTAAACTATAAGCAATAGGTCAACTATATTTGTTGTATAGAAGAATTGTTAGCTGCACATGTCTGCCTGGCATGGTTCATCTGACCTTGACCTCATTTTCATGGTTCATTGGTCAATGTTTAGTTTTTTGGTTAATGTTAAGTTTATGTGACAGTTGTAATAAAGCTTTATATTTAGGACTATCAACATAATATCAATGATTAAAAAAGAAGGTGAGACATTTCAGCGTGTGCACTCTTGTTTAAATTATATACATGTAACCCAGAGCCCAGCAAACAAAAAAACGTTAACATGGTTAATGTCATGTTATTCCAATGTAAATTCATGTTAACATAAAGTTACTACATGGTAACATATTTAATACGTCCGTATGCATGGTAGACTCTGAATAACATTCAAAGTAATATTTAAAAAGGAAATGTAAAAGTAATGGTATAACTTTAAAGGGGCACTAGCTACGACAAATGTACGAGATATATAAAAAATCTTAAATACGATTTTTTTTTGGTTCAATCATTAATCATGTTAATGAAAGTGAAATAGTGAAATAATAATTCGCTTTTAGGAGCCAGTATGGTTCAATTTTGTCAAAATAAGCTAAGAAGCATTGATGATGAATTATTCACTTGCAAGTTAATAATTCACCTCATTGAATCCCTATTTATGTGAAATTCAATTCAACCCATTTGCTAGAGAAATCCAATTGAACGAGTTTGCTATCTATTTATATCTATATTTATGTTTATATCACTTATATGACCATTGGAGGTCTTTGGAGGTCAACTCGATAGTAAACTAGATGGCGTCTAGACTAAAATACACACCCTGCCCTGTAAATTGTTTATTTTAGACTTTTTATAATTTGGATAAATGTTTTACATTGTTATAAATCAAATATGAGAATTTGAGTCAAATCGGTGAACATGAATTTGACAGCTAGTGCCCATTTTTAGTAACGTTTCTGTTTATATTGAATAAGAAAACTTATTGAAAATTAGCCTAACATCCATTTTAACGTCATTCATGTATATTAATATAAAACTGATTTCATGAATGTTGGAGTAATATTTTGTATAACATTGTTTATATTTATACATGAAACTGACATTACAGTAACATTTCTTACAATGTTATATATTTACATAAAACTAATGTTTCTGTAACATTTACTCAGTTATTACATTAGTCATTAGTATTTGACAGAAAATAAACTTTGTATTATTCAGAATTATCAGTGAATTGAGTGTTCTACAAGGATCACCAGTCCTTCGCCTTTCATTTGATACCTTATATTTTAATTACTAAAATGTATGCTACATGGTTTAAGTTTTACACCTGTACGTAGGAACTATTTTGTTTTAAGTATGTACTACTTTCCTGTATGTTCTTTTTCGACCTGGCCCGATTAGGTGGTGTTACATCTTACAAAGTCTATCCAAATTATTTTTGCAAAGAATTCCGCTCAAGCCCGTGCTAGGGGCCGTCTTAAACTTGCAGTGAGGTCAGAGTTCTTTTGCTCTGTGTTGAAGACCTCACTGTGACTTTGAGATGAAGAACAGCAATAAAGGCGCTGTTCCTTTGCTTTTTGTGTGTTTATTTGTTGTGCATGTAATGATTTTGTGTCATGGATGGATACCCCATATCCTTTCTTTTTCTATTTTTAGTTCCATTGTCAAGTAAAATCATTTATAATGTTAGTTTTAAACCTTTATCAACTTAAACGAAACACTCCTTTCCATTAAATGAAACACTCCTTTCCATTAAATGAAACACTCCTTTCCATTAAATGAAACACTCCTTTCCATTAAATGAAACACTCCTTTCCATTAAATGAAACAAGTTCTGTACCATCATCATGGAACTGTCAATGCATACTTTTGTAATGCATTTTTCTTATTCAAGATATACTTGTTTCTGTGTTCTCTCTTCACACTATATTTTTTATACGACCGCAAAAAAATTTTGTGGTCGTATATTGGTATGACGTTGGCGTCGTCGTCGGTTTTCGCACTCTAACTTTAGTTTAAGTGTATGGATCTCTATGAAATTTTACCATAAGGTTCAATACCACAAAAGGAAGGTGGGGATTGATTTTGGGGGTTATGGTACCAACAGTTAAGGAATTAGGGGCCAAAAAGGGGCCAAAAATAAACATTTTTGTAACTTCCAGACATAACTTGTGTGTTAGTGTATGGATCTCTCTGACATTGTACCACAAGGTTCCATATCACAAAGGGAATGCTGGGATTGATTTTGGGGGCAATTGCCTCCAAATTTTAGGAATTAGGGGCCAAAAAGGGGCAAAAAACAAGCAGTTTTCTAGTTTCAGGACAATAACTTGTGTGTAAGTGTATGGATCTTTATGAAATTGTACTACAAGGTTCCATATCACAAAGGGAAAGCTGGAATTGAGTTTGGGGGTAATTGCTCAAAATGTTTAGGAAAAAGGGGCCAAAAATAAGCATTTTTCTAGTTTCTTGTGTTCAAGTGTATGGATCTCTCTGAAATTGTACTTCAATGTACCATACCACAAAGGGAAGACTGGGATTGATTTTGGGGGTAATTGCCTCAAAATTTTAGGAATTAGGGGCCTTAAAGGGGCAAAAAAACAAGCATTTTTCTAGTTTCAGGACAATAACTTGTGTGTAAGTGTATGGATCTTTATGAAATTGTACTACAAGGTTCGATATCACAAAGGGAAAGCCCGGTTTGAGTTTGGGGGTAATTGCCCTAAATGTTTAGGAATTTGGGGCCAAAAAGGGGCCAAAAAACAAGCATTTTTCTAGTTTCCAGACAATAACTTGTGTTCAAGTGTATGGATCTCTCTGAAATTGTACTGCAAGGTACCATACCACAAAGGGAAGGCTGGGATTGAGTTTGGGGGTGATGAATCATAAGGGGTTCAAAAAATTGGGGGGGGGGGGGATTTTTTTTCTTTAAAATTTTCCATTTTAAATTGGTTATTTCTGATTTATATATAAAAGCAAATAATAATGATATGGTTTGAATAGGTAAATTAAAAAAAATTAAGTTCTTAGACCACATTCATTGTGTCAGAAACCTATGCTGTGTCAAATATTTAATTACAATCCAAATTCAGTGCTGTATCAAGCCTGAATGTTGTGTCCATACTTGCCCCAACTGTTCAGGGTTCAACCTCTGCGGTCGTATCAAGCTGCGCCCCAGCGGAGCATTTTATTTTTATATGTACCACCTTTGATCATGTTGATAATTATAAGTGTTAAGGCAAAAAAAAAATAATACATGTGTTTCTGCTAACCCTATCTACATTGTACCCTAATTTTTAGTGCCTACCCTAACAGCTTTTATGCTATTTTGGAACAAGCACTGTTAAAGTCAGACTGATTCCCTAGTAGTAAACAGCTAAAAAATGTTTGTTAAATGAAATGATATTGCCTACCTACCTACCCTATTTTTTTATCAGCACGCTAGGGGAAACACATGTATTTATTTTTTTGGCCTTAGTATTACGATAAATTTTCCCTTCTGTACCTCTAACTACAAAATTATTAGTCCCCTAGCGACGAAGTCAAAGGGGACTTAAGGTTTGCACTCTGTCCCTCTGTCAATCTGTCCATCCGTCAGTCAGGCAACTCAGTTTTCCACACTTTGTTTCTTCGTTCTTGAAGATATTGATTTGATATTTGGTATATAGTTTTATCATGCCAAGTTATAGATCAAGTTCGAATTTTGTTCCGGTCTGATGATTTAGTTCAGAGTTATGGTCCATAAAAAAACTCCATAACTAATATTAGAGTACTATGTTAAATATATCTGTACAAAGGGAGATAACTCATTTTTTAAAAGACATCCTTTGGTGAATTGTTTGAGGAGTTTTTTGGCAGGTTTATATGTTATTTTGTATAAACTAATTTTCTGAATGCTACATCTATATATATATATATATATATATATTTTTTATTAAGTGAAATCCTTTAATTAGATAATAATCTATTTTTATTAAGGTATATATTTCATTACATTACAGTGTCTTCCCTAGAAAAATGTTCATGCATGGTGGGTCCATGGTGAATTTGCATTGCGGCGTGCGACACTTCTTTTTCAGAATTAGTTACACTACATACTTTATATGTTTAAAGCCATATACCAATCTAAATGTTTTATTATA